TTTTTTTTTTTTTTTTTTGATTGTTAGTTGGAGGTAAGAGTCTCACAGAATTTTCTGTCCAGGCTGGCTTTGAACTGGGATCCTCAGATCTCAGCCTCCTGAGTGGCTAGGATTACAGGTATGAACCACCTGTGCCCAGCTCAAGTCCACTTTTTAATGTGGACCATATACATATTCAGTTGTTGCATCCCTGTTTGTTGAAAAGACTATCTTGTTCCACTGCATTACTTTGTTGCCTTTGACAGAATCCATTGACTATATATGTGTGAATCTGTTTTTGGGGATTTCTATTTTGCAGTTGATCTATATGTTAATGCTATGTAAAAATACATTGATGTGAAGCCGGACACTGGCTTTACAAATCCTGGGGCTTAAACTTAGGACTTGGGCATTGTCTCTGAGCTTCTTTTGCTCAAGGCTAGCACTGTATTCATAGATATGAGCCACTGGCACCTGGCAGTGGCATTTGGTATTTATATGGCATTTTAGGCTATTTCATTCTCTATTATTTTATTGCCAGTATTAAGAAATAGAGACCAGCAGCTAGGTGCTGGTGGCGTATGCCTGTAACCCTAGCTACTCAGGAAGCTGAGATTTGAGGATCATAGTTCCAAGCCAGAAATTGGGCAGAAACTTCTGTGAGACTTACCTCCAGTTAACCAGCAAAAAGTTGGAAGTGGAGGTGTGGCTCAAGTAATACAGTACCAGCCTTGAGTGAAAAAGCCAAAGGAGAGCATGAGGCCCTGTAGCATGAGACCCAGTAGCTACACAAATGGAAGGAAGGAAGGAAGCAAGGAAGACACTTGTAATGAACAAGTGTTGAATTTTGTCCAGTGTGTTTTATCTGCTGAGATCTTTGTGGCTTTTCTTTTTTATTCCATTAATGTGACAAATTGCATTAATTTTGGGGTTTGAGTAAAACTTTACTCCTTAGGATAAATCCCACTTGGTTATGACTACCCATTTTATTTAGTGCTAAGCTTGGTTGATTTGTATTTCATTAAGGATTTTTGCACCCTTGTTCATGAATGATATGATCTAGTTTTTCTGTCTTAGAAGTTTTTTTTTAAGCTGGGCACTGGTGGCCTCACATCTGTAATCCTAGCTACTCAGGCATCTGAGATCTGAGGAGCCCGATTTAAAATCAGCCCAGGCAAAAAAGTTATGAGATTCTTATCTCCAATTAACCAGCAAAAAAAGCTGGAAATGAAGCTAAATTGGACCTTCCTGCCTATCCTGGCTTCAACTGAGATCCTTAGATTTTAGCCTTCTGAGTGGCTACAATTACAGGAATGAGCCACCAATGCCGAGCTATTTTTTGGGGAGGGGGCCAAGGTGGTACAGGTTCTAGGGCTTGAACATTGTCCCTAAGCTTTTTTGCTCAAGGCTAGTGTTCTACCCCTTGAGCCACAACTCCATTTCCAGCCTTTTTTTTTTTTTTAAAGAAGGCTTTATTTTTTTAAATTTATTTTTATTTTTTTATTTTTGGCGGTCCTAGGGCTTGAACTAAGAGCCTGGGCACTATCCTTGAGTTAATTTTTGCTCAAGGCTAGCACTCTACCACTTGAGCCACAGTGCTACGTCTCCTTTTTCTGTTTGATACTGAGGAACCGAACTCAGGGCTTCCTGCATGCTAGGCTAGCACTCTGCCACTGAGCTACCCTCCCAGCCCACTTCCAGCTTTTTAATGGTTAAGTGGAGATAGAATCTCATAGACTTTCTTGCCTGAGCTGGCTTTGAACTACAGTCCTCAGATCTCAGCCTCCTGAGTAGCTAGTATTAGAGGAAGGAGTTACCAGCATCCTGCTGTTTCTTTCTTTTTAATTTATATGTAAGATTATATGAGATCTCTCTTCATTCCAGATACTGAAAATATATTTTTTTGAGTATATAAGCTAATGGGCTATCAACTTTATCTTTTCCAATAACCAGATTTTGATTTTTTGTTCCTCTGCTTATCTATTTTCTGTTTAATTGATTTAGACTCTTACTATTTCCTGCTTTCTATGTACTTGGGTTTAATTTATTCTTTTTCTAGCTCCCTGTGGTAGAAGTTTTAGATTATTGACATTGGATCTATTTCTCTGTTGTAAGCATTTAAAGCTGTAAATTTCTCTTTAAGCATTATTCTTGATACAGCCTACAAACTTTTATGCCTAGGCCAGCCTGAAACCACCATCCCCAGATCTTTGCCTTCTAGGTAACTAGGATTATAGGCTTAAGCCACTGCTTCTGTTTATAAAAATTGTGAGTGCTCACAAGAAAAGACTTTTATTGTTAGCAGCAGATACTCTTTGTTCTCTTTGAAAACACATTTCTTATTATTTGTCTAGTGATAATTTAGACTTTGTAAATGATTGGTACTGAATAGGCTCTTCAAACAATATTATCTGTTGCTTATTACAAGTGCCATACTGTACAAATATGTCTTTTTAATTGTGATTTGAGTATATATCTCATAAGAATGCTTTTACTTTATCAGGCCATAATGCAACAGGGAAACACTTCTATCAAACCCATCCTCCAAGTCATTGTAAGTACCTACATGTATTGCTCAAATATTTTATAGGTTCATATACAATTACAAATTATGTTTGATGGAAGACACAGTTTTCCTTCAGGAAATTCTCTTCATTGTTTAGAAATAGATAAGTCTACATTGTGACCCTGAAAGAGAGGATAATGAGGCTTAAAAAACAAAATGCTAGCCAAAGTTAGTTAAAAATTAATGCTAGTTAAAGTTAGTTTGTAGTGTTAGATTTAAGCTTTACCTTGCTTAGGTGACTTAGAGTTTACACATCCTTATATCTCCATATGACCTTCAGAGAGAGAGAGGAAAAATATGAGGCTGTTGATGTCAAAGTCTTCAGTTAACCCTTCAGTCTCAAATGTGGTAGGAATTTTAAGCATCAATAAAAGCAAAATCCAGGATTATAACCTGGAATTGAGGAAAAGTAAGTGATAGTTCCTAGTAACTCCTCACTGCTGGTCATTGTCAGGCTTCATGTTCAGTTTCCTTCAGAAATCTGCCTCTGTTCTCCTTCAAGCTAGGATAAGCCTCAGATTGGCTCTTAGACCACTGTATTTACACAGAGCCTGCCCCTGCTTCCATCTCTATCCAACTGTAAGCTCCTTCGGGGCAAGGAACTTTTTTCCTCAGTTTCTGTTTTATATTTTTTGCATGTTTTCTATACATACCATGTATAGATTTGGTGCTTAGTTATTAATATTTTTTCCTTAAAATTTTTTTATGTGCATATACATGTGCATGCGCATGCCTGTGTATATGTATTTGCCAATACTGGCATTTAAACTGGCCTCAAGCTCTTGTTCTTTTTTATTCATGGCTAGAACTCTACTACTTGAACCATGCCTCCAGTTCTAGTTCTAGTTTTTTTTTCTGGCTAATTGGAGATGAGAGTCTCATAGACTTGCCTGCCCAGGCTGGCTTTAAACCAAGCTCAGCCTTTAAACAGATCTCAGCCTCCTGTGAGCCACCCGTGTCGGAGTATATTGTTTTTTTTTTTTTTTGGGTCCGGTCGTGGGGCCTGAACTCTGGGCCTGGGCACTGTCCCTCAGCTCTTCAGCTCAAGGCTAGTGCTCTACCATTTGAGCCACAGCGCCACTTCTGGCTTTTTTCTTTTTGCTTATGTGGTGCTGAGGAATCGAACCCAGGGCCTTGAGCATGCAAGGCATCCGCTCTACCGCTGAGCCACCTTCCCAGCCCATGGAGTATATTGTTTTTAATGTTAGTGGGAAGTTGGTGGGAGTAATTATCCAATTCAATATTCTTTTATTTGTATGTAGGTATCAAGAGAATGGGCAAAAACTCAAGACAAAATTCCATTTGTCTTGAACAAATGACAACCCACTCAGCTACCACTTAGGTTTAGTTTTCTCCAGGGATTGGGCAGAAAACCTGGCTAATGAATCAAGTTTTCTATCCTAGAATATCCGTGCTATTACTACAGGCAATAGTCCACCCCGTTACCGACTGCTTATGAGTGATGGATTGAACACCCTGTCCTGTGAGTATGATGCATGATTGTTAGAACTGTGAGTGTGAAAATGATAGAATCCCACCTGACACTCTGAGTGCAGTAATTTGGGTGCATTGTTGTAGTATACCACACTTGTTGGCTGTGTATCTCATTGAGGCAGAGTTGCAGCTGGCAGAGAGCATTCTAACAATAGATTGCATGGAGTGGAAAGCTGCCACTCAGCTTAATTACTTTTCTCTAACTGGTGCTGTATGTTTTCTTTGATTAATTTCCCTAAGGATGGTATTGGCATTTAGTGAATGGGATGGGTTAGCTGTCCTGTACTTGCCTTTTGGGGGGTTTTATTTTTGTCTTGGAAGCTTTAAAAGGAAGATGTAATGTATAGAATATTTGCTTGCTATCTCTAGTCACAATGTAAATGTAAAGGACTTAGAAGGACTTGAGTGTTTTTCATGAAACCTGAGTGACATAAGAAAATGATGAGGCCCTTTGAGAAACACAGCTGATTTATACCATTTTTTCATTATGCATCTTGATTAGTTATAACTTCAGTAAGTGTGCATGGAAGCCATTGGTTTTCTTGGGATCAGCTCTCATATTCCTATGACTGAAATGTTTTCCCCGAGGCTAAAATAATGTCTGTGCTTTTCAGCTTTTATGTTGGCAACCCAGTTGAACTCCCTTGTTGAGCAGGAACAATTGTCCAGCAACTGTATTTGCCAGATTAACAGATTTATCGTCAACACTCTGAAAGATGGAAGGTAGGTGTTTTCTGTTTGTATTGGACAGAGAAACACATTGCCTGCCAAAAATTCAATAAGGAATTTTAAAAAGGCAGTAAGGAGTTTTCAGCTAAGAAATTTGTAGCTAATCAGGTCTGAACTCAGAAAACTAAAACATGGCACCATGGAAAGAGAAATATGCAAACAAATTGGAAATCTCAGAACAAAAGAATAAAACAATGGATAACTGTATTTACTTCTTATTTTTTCAGCTCTGTTTTTAGTATCTGGTAATGAAGAGGTCACTTAATACAGTATAAAAAGATACATTTAATTATATACTGCTGTTCTTTTTTTTTTCTCCACAATCTTGAATTTTCAGTATTCAGCCAATATAGAATATGTTTAGTACTTTCAAGATGTTATGTGCTAGAAATATAACAGTGAACTGAACAGAAAAATTATCTTTTTAAAGTGGGGGAACTTTATACAGTATTTTCCCCAAGATTTTTATTTTGAATCACACAATGTATTCAAAACACAAGAAGCAAATATAAGCATTTCAATGTTGATAAAGCTTCATCAAGGTATGTTACATTATCTGTATATTTACAAACGATTTTCAATTTGTGTTATTGGATATATGTTTGTTTTCTTTTAAAATTTAGCCTTTCTGAATTAATTTGGGTGTCATTTTATAAATAAGTTAAAAAATTCAATTTAAGATTTAATTTGTGATTTTATTCTGCTTAATTTATTATTGGTCATTTTTGCTTATTTTTTCTTAGTGTTTGAACAATGTTCTTGTTTTTTCCTTGTCATAGATCAGTGGTTCCCTTCCCCCCTACCCCTCCATTAGTTCAGAAGTTAACATGTTCTATTGTGTCTCTATGGCAGTTTCTGATTTTTCTTAAATCTATAGAATTAAATATTCTGAAATAGGTCAATATTTTTACTATCCTTCCAAATGAAGTGGGTTATAAAAAATCATCTGTGAGTCAGGCATTGGTGGCACATGCCTGTAATCCTATCTACTTAAGCTGAAATTTGAGGATCATACATAGTTTGAAGCCAGCTCAGGTAAAAAAGTCTGTGAGACTCTTATCTCTATAATTAGCCACTGAAAAGCTGGAAGTGGCTCAAATGGTAGAGTTGATAGCTTTGAGTGGAAAAAGCTAAAGGACAGTGCACAGGCCCTAAGTTCAAGCCCTAGGACTGGCACAAAAAAAGAAAAAAGAAGATCAAAAATCTTCAAAGTGACAAGTTTTAGTACAAAATGAATTTGAATCCATTGGCTAGAACAGGAATTTAAAAGTCTGTCCTGAATAAATGAATACATGGGAAAACAGCTTTTTCTTAAAATAAGATGATATCTCACAAATGTAAAATAAATTATGTAATTAGAAAATCACCATTTGGCAACTGTCATGGTAATGATTGATTGATGCAGGAAGCATTAGTAGATGCTATATGTTTCCTATGGCTACTATTAACCATCACAAACTTGAAACTACTGGAGAAACAGATGCAGAAACTTATTCTGTCTGGAGGCCAGAAGCTGAAACCTGGCTGGAGACTGGTGACTCATGCTTCTGATCTGAAGATCACAGTTCAATATCAGCCTGGACAAGAAGGTCCATGAAACTCTTTTATCTCCAATTAACCACCAAAAAAGTGGAAGTAGAGCTGTGGCTCAAGTCGTAGAGTACTAATCTTGAACTTGAACAAAAAAAAGCTCAGGGTCAGTTCTCAGGCCCTGAATTCAAGTCCCAAAACCAACAAGCGCACATACACGCACACGCACACACGTTGAAATTATCTCTGGGCTGAAGCCATGTCAGGAGGACTGTACTTTGTCTGGAAGCTACATGGGAGGATGTATCCATTTGTCTCTTCACCTTCTAGTGGCTCCTGGCATTCATTCCTTGGTCTATGACTGCATCATTCCAATGCATTCTCTCTCTGTATATCAATAGATATAGATATATATACACATAGATAATAGATCTTTCTTTCTCTTTCTCTCCCTCTCCCTCTCCCTCTCCCCCTTCTCTCTCTCTCTCTCTCTCTCTCTCTCTCTCACAAACACACACACACACACACACACTTTCCTTTCAGAAAAATACATGTGATTGCATTTGTGGCTTTCTCATCCTCCCATGTAAAAGTACCACTCATTCATAGGTTCTAAGATTAGGATGTGGATATTTGACAGGCTCTTATGTGATGTGTTCTCAGTTTGTGGCCTAGTTGGGCCTTGAGTTCATGATCCCCAGCTCCTGAATGCTGGAATTACAAGCATGGACCACCATGCTTGGTTTTATAGTCTTTAGCATACAGTTGATAGAAAACAAGTAGGTGAAAATTTGATGAGAAACAAGGTAGTTAATAGGCTTAAAGTATCTCCCCAGGAAATAGTTATTAATTGTAGTGGGAAGAGAGGTAGTTTTGTAAGGGAGGAACCTAGGCCCTTTGATCATGGTGATAATCAATGTTAACTTTACCTGTGGTGGCACAGGTCGAAATCATGTATCATGTAACAGAATACAGCCTCACTTCTGTCCTGTGCTGGGTGTAGGTGTATATATGACAGTATCCAGTAGTGTCAAAGCTTCAGTTACATTGTAATTGGCCTCATCTTCAAAAACCTCAAGTGTAGGGCTGGGAAGGTGGCTCAGTGGTAGAGTGCTTTCCTTGCATGCATGAGGTCCTGGGTTCAATTCTTTAGAATCACATAAACAGAAAAAGCTGGAAGTAGCGCTATGGCTCAAGTGGTAAAGCTCTAGCCTTGAGCTGAAAAGCTGAGGGACAGAGCTCAGGCCCAGAGTTCAAGCCCTATAACCAACCTCCACCCCCACCCCCCAAAAAAAAATCTCGTGTAGCCAGGTGCTAGTGGTTCATGCCTATAATCCTAGCTACTCAGGAGGCTGAGATCTGAAGATCACAGTTCAAAGCCAGCCTGGGCAGGAAAGTCTATGAGATTCCTAGCTCCAATTAACCACCAGAAAACTGGAAGTAGAATTGTGATACAGAGTGGTAGAGCACTAGCCTTGAGCAAAAAGAGCTCAAGGACAGTGCCTAGGCACTGAGTTCAAGCCAACAAAAATTAAAAAAATCTTAAGTGTGAAAGTAAATGAAAAATTGAGAAGCGTTGCTCCCTTTGCCACAAGGCCCTGGATTGGATCCTTATGCTGTCATTGAAGCAGTAGATGAAACTCCAGCGTCTTTTATGAGTTAGATGAAAGTATTTTGTCAGTATTAATTTCCCAACATGGATGGTTGTGTTGTGAGTAGGTAGGAAGTTGAACAGCAGAGATTTAAATTTTCATACTGTGGTTGGTTAAAAAACACAAACAGAAGGAACTGAATGTAACCAGATAAAATTTCTTCCTTGAAAGAGCAACTTCAGTTAAGTTTCCACAAAGATTAAAACAAAACTGTAAAGAATATTAAAAGGATTAAAGTATTAGAATGACAACTTGGCTTGGTATCTGTTCTTTGGTTTCCATGGTTTTCCCTCAGAATTTTGTCTTCTGGCATTGAATATTGATCTTCAAAAGTCTTAAGGCTAGCCCGCTTTGGCTTCTTTCCTGTTAGGAAGTTTTCCTTTATTTGCTTGGATTCCCAAAGAATTCTTTATCCTCCTTTTTTTCCTTCCTTCCTTTCTTTTTTTTTTTTGGGGGGGGGTCCGGTCGTGGGAGTCTGAACTCTGGGCCTGGGCGCTGTCCCTCAGCTCTTCAGCTCAAGGCTAGCGCTCTACCACTTGAGCTACAGTGCCACTTCCGGTTTTCTAGTGGTTTATTGGAGATAGGAGTCTCATGGTCTCTCCTGCCCGGACTGGCTTTGAACCGCGATCCTCAGATCTCAGCCTCCTGAGTAGCTAGGATTACAGGCGTGAGCCACCAGCACCCGGCTAAATAATCTAAATTCTTAACATGCCAGTGGCTCCTTGAAGATATGTTTTTGGCAAATATGCATCATTTTAATTAAGGGCCTAGATTGGAAATGAATACCCTATCATAATAAAAAAAAACCTTGATAATGATGCAGTGAAAAATGAAGGGAGATACTTATGTAGAATTGATATCATATATTAGTTATTCGGTAATGAAAAATACTAACAAAGGAAAACAGTTTTATCACAATGATCATTGAGGGAAAGCTTTTTAAATAGCTTGTCTTTGAAAGTGTTTGGTTTATTTATTCTGACTTGTTACCATTTGCTTGCCTTTGTTAGGAGAGTAATTATTTTGATGGAGTTAGACGTTTTGAAGTCCGCAGAAGCAGTTGGATTAAAGATCGGCAATCCAGTGCCCTATAATGAAGGTAAAATCCTCTTTATAGATTGTAGCTCTTGATTTTAGTGCTTCTTTATAGATCAGAATCCTGTCTTTTGGTTTCCATTCGTGTTGTTCATCTTAATAAAACAACAGTCAGTCAGGGCTCAAGGAGCCAGGTGGTTCTGTCAGGGATTTTTTTTGACATTGAAGAAATAGTGTATGAATAAGGAGGAGGAGAAATACAAAAAAGAGAATGTCATGGCCATTCTTTGTAAGATCCACATAGAGAGCCGGGCGCTGGTGGCTCACGCCTGTAATCCTAGCTACTCAGGAGGCTGAGATCTGAGGATCGTGGTTCAAAGCCAGCCCGGGCAGGA